TTGGATTGTGAGCCGCCCTGAGTCCCCTTCGGGGAAAAGGGCGGCATATAAATGCAATAAATTCAATTCAATACACTCTCTCTTGGGCATAAGAGGGAGGGAAGGAGAAACACCGGCAAGCTTTTGTGTCTGTATATGCCAATCAGTCTTGACTCCAGATGACTGCCTAGAGAAATCCCTGGCATGCTTGATGGGAGTCCCTTGATGGGACTTAAAGTTCCCACGTTTGGACACCCCTGTCTTATAGCAATAGCACTTAAGACTTATATAGTGCTTTTTACAGCCCCCTCCAAGAGGTTTACAAAGTCAGCCTATTGCCTCCAAAATTTGGGTCCTCATTTTACCCAACTCGGAAGGATGGAAGGCTGAGTCAACCTTGAGCCATTCAGAATTGGAGTGAGTAGTGAGTTTTCTTGGCAAGATTTCAGAAAAGGTTTGTCACTGTTTGCTTCTTTGGGCTGAGAGGTGTGACTGGCCCAAGGTCACCCGGCTGGTTTGTGCCTAAGAGGCGAGACTAGAACTCAGAATCTCTTGGTTTCTAGCTTGGTGCATTAACTACTAAACCAGGGGTCTCCAAGCTTGGTAACTTTAAGGCTTGTGGACTTCAACTCCCATAATTCCTCAGCCAGAACTCTGGGAGTTGAAGTCCATAAGTCTTAAAGTTGCCAAGGTTGGAGATCCCTGCACTAGACCAAACTAGCTCTTTTGTAATTCAATCGGTAATTGATAGTGAACTATCAATTGAAATTGAAATTATCCACTACTCTCGGTCCACCGGCTTTTCTATTATTATAGCCTATATATCAACCCATATACAGTACACATATACACATACAAACTAGTATTTCTCGTGGTGTCTTATTTCCTGACCTAGTCCACTTTGAAGGGCTGACAGATGTTTTCAGATGATGTCTCCCCTTGTGGACAAAAGCCTTAAAGAATATAATCTGTGCCTGTGAGTTTCAAGATGCAGAAGGCACCTTTTGCACTAGAGCAGGGGTCCCCAACCCCCGGTCTATGGCCCGCCATTGGGTTGTGATATGCCAGAAACCGGGCAGTGGAAACAAACCAAGACCTATCCATGGGATATAGGGAGCATGCAAAATCATGCCCTTTCCGGTCTGCAGAAAAGACTTTCTCTCCAGAACCAGCCCCTGGAGTCTAAAACATTGGGGGCCGCTGCACTAGAGCCCTGCCTCAACTCATTCGACAACCACCACTTGCTACTTTTTGGATCAGGGCTTGGAGAAGATGGTGGCCACTTAATCCCAGGCACGTTTGGAGATGTGATTTGTGGCAGAAGAAACGGCACCAGGTGCCTTACAGCAGGGGTCTCTAACCTTGGCAGCTTTAAAACTTGTGGACTTCAAGTCTCAGCATTCCTCAGCCGGGGGAAAGGGGAATCCTGGGAGTTCAAATCCACAAGTCTTAAACTTGCCAAGGTTGGAGACTCCAGCAGCCTTACGGACAACATGTACAGCTTCTAAAAAATGAATGGTAAGGATCATCAAAGTGCTTTGCGCATGGAGCAGCTAGCCAGGGATGGCCCATGCCTGAACCAAATCACCAGGGTTTTAGACATTTCAATCTTTACATCTTGCAAATACAGGCTAAAAATGCACTTGTGCTGGGCAGAAGTGCTGCAGAGAGTGGGGGAGCAAGAGGTATGCAGTGGGCCCCATCAGCCTAATTATTCCAGCTTGCGGGGTCCAGAAGAGCCTTCTCTGCTGTCGCACCTGCCCTGTGGAACATCTTGCCCCAAGGAGTGAGGTCAGCTCCAACCGTCCTGACCTTCCATAAAAGCCTAACGCTCGGGGGGGAGGGGGCAGCTGGCTTGGGGCTCCAACGGGAGAGCATGAGAGTTAGAGGTGGTTGATTGATTAGCAACAGATTCCACCTTCCTCGCCATCCTGCTCTGCCCTCCCCATCTTTTAACTGGACCGCAGTATTTGGCTTTTCTAACAACTCATCTATGTTTTATATAGTTTTTACCTTTTATGATTGTAAGCCACCCTTAAGGTAAGATGGGTGGCCTACACATTTTACAGATACATAAATAAGAGGAAAGCCATGCTTCAGAGATTTCCTTGGTAACAGTATTAATGCAGATATAGATGGCAGATAAGAGGAGGAAAGGGGTGGAAAAGACTGGGGGCAAAATGATGAGCGATCTACTGTATTGTCACTGTTGCTTCTTATTTAACTTTAACTTGTTGCAACTTGTCCAAAATCTTTTCAATTGGGCAACCTATAAAAACTGCTATAATTAGTAAAGAAATAGGTTCCCTTCGCACATATGTTCTAGTTGTTCCGGACTCTAGGGGGCGGTGCTCATCTCCGTTTCAAACCAGAAGAGCCAGCACTGGCTGAAGATGTCTCCGTGGTCATGTGGCCAGCATGTTTAAATGCCAAAGGTGCACGGAACGCTGTTACCTTCCCACCAAGGTGGTTCCTATTTTTCTACTTGCAGGTTTTATTTTGGATCATTGAAGTTGGTCCTAAATGCTTTGGCAGAACTTCTGTCATGGGATAGAACGTGCATATTTGAAACAATATATATATATTTTCATTTCGGTTCCTGGCCATTCCTAATCCAGACGAACTGTATCAAAAAAGGGTTACAAGGATGATCAGAGGATTGGAAATTAGGTTTCACGAAAAGAGATTGAAGGAAATTGTTATGTTTCACCTTCAGAAAGGAAGGCAAGAGGTAAATGATAAGGTGTCACACAAAACAGATTTGTTTTCTATCACCCCTAAGGGAAATACAAGGAAGTCAAGGAATAATGGCTGTAAATCACCAAAACATTTTTAGGAAATATTTTCTACAAATAAGAGTTTACTTTCTAAACCAATTATTAACAGAACTGCTGAGTTTTTGTTTTGCTTTAATTTGAATTACAGTACTGGATTTGATGAGGATGGCTAAAATGGCCAATCTGACGATTTTTTTTGCTGTGAGAAAGTTGTGGGTCATGCTGGACATCCAGCTTGATATTTTGGCAACTTTCAATACCATCAATGAAAGAATATTTTGCTGGAGCAGCTCGGGGAAGGGAGGTTGAGTAGGATTAGAAAACTGAGTAAGAGGATGTTGGTGTTTTAAAAAATAATTTATGATCAATAAAACATAATCATGCAAGCCTTAATTTCATGACAAATAGGCTGCAGGACCACTAAGGTCCATCTTACTCATCATGTTATTTAACATCTATACTAGCCCATGAGCTGCATCCAGCCCCCATGTTGAGTCAGACTGTTAAATAAAAATCAACTGATTTCTGCATTCTAAAATACAATGTAATATATTAAAACCAATAGTGCACCCATTTTTTGATAGGGTCCTGTAGTTCTTTGACATACCCTAGCCTAAGCGATGTAGCCAGAAAACCCTGGATTAATTTATATGAAGGCTAAACAACCCGTGACCAGTTGGGTCATCATTTCAGAGTTATTTCTTTACTTAAACAGAAAAACAGAATGATCAAAGACAAAAAAAGCCGTGGGAGCAGGAATGATTAACATCCAGGAGGCTTAACGTAGCTGACCAACTTCAGGCAATCAATGGTGAACTGATCTATCCAGCCTCCAGAGGGCCTGGGGGGACTGGTGATGCAGCGATTATAATCCTGTATTGCAGGCTGATTTTGCCCACATTCTGGAATTCTATCTTGGTGTCAACTCTCTATTTTATGCATTTTCGGTCTTTTGCAGCCATGATTGAAAGTTTTTCCATTGCGCATATTTAGCCTTATAATATCCAAATTCATAAAAAATCATAATAGTATTTCTAGCAAAGGAATAGTGAAAATAAGGCTTCCAAACGCAATCCAAATCTATCATAGTGCTAAATAATAGACTAATGAACTATCTCTGTTTCACCTTAACTGTGAGCTTGAAGGAAGAATCTACACTTTCAGTAGAGTTCTACATTAAAAACTGAAGTTTTGGTCTGACTCCATGTAAAAAGGTACACCACAAGTCACTTACATTTTTAACGGCTGAGAAATATAAAATACACAAATTGCCTTTATACATATACAATAACAACCTTCCAGAGACGGTGGGGCAGGAATAACAAAAGCAGGCAGGGACTTACTCTGTTCTGATGGATATTCCCGTGTCGGAAGATAAACTGAAGGTCTTCTGTTCTGTAAATAATTTTTGTTTTCAAAAACAAAGAGTTATGCTGTGTGTAAGAGGCAGTTCAGTCCACCATATTGTTAAGCATTCAAACTGCAATGGTAATAGAATATTTCTTACAAAATAAGAAAAAGGTAACTTTCTAAACAGATCAATAGATCATCATGTCCTAATGGAAGCTGATTTAATGCTTATTATTTGCTGGAATTCTCCAAAGGATACAGAATCTGTCAGATCCAAGGATGGGATTCTACCGGTACCTCCGACGAACAGCTGGGAGCGAACCGGTTCGCTCTGACGATTAGCTGGGCCCGCCCACCTGCCCTTGCATTTTACTGACCTATATTCTCTCAGCTGAGTTGCACAGTGGAGCAGATTGGCGCACCTCGGCTGTTTTCCTCCCCAGCAGAAATGCAGAAATTAAGCTTTCTCAAAACTGTGCACACACGCGCAGTGCACGCGAAGCACACGATCATCAAACCGGTTGTTAAACCAGTAAGATCCCACTACTGGTCAGGTCCCTGCTAGATTCAGAAAGGTATGCCTTCACTCCCAAATAAGCATAGGCTGACCACTTAATGCATTTATAAGATGTATATCCCACTTCTCATACAAGAGAGCAAAGACAAAATATATACACCAGTCTCTTCCGCCGTCCCTGCAATAACTCTGTACAGCAGACTAGGTTAAGAAAATGACTGGCTCAGTGGGCTTCCATTACTAAGAATGAACAAAAATCTGGGTTATCTGTGTTTCTAATCCAATACCTTCATCACCATCACAATCTCTCAACAGCATTGGACAACTATGGAAGTTAAACAGATTCTGCTTCTAGATCGCTGATGGCAAATCTATAACGTAAATATCATTGCCACTATGTTTTGGGAGACAGGTCAAAATGCACTAAACATCCGACAACTGTTCTCAAAAGCAGGCCCCATTCTCAAGCGATTTTCGAAGGCTGCACCAGAAGAGGTTGTGCTCTTTCTTGTGGCTTTCAAAGCCTCCAAAAGTCATCTAAGAATTCTGGTTCACTTAATCACCGTGTAACTAACTTAACGACTCCAATGTTCCACTTAACAACTGGGTCAAGAAAAGTGGTCACACGGGGCAAAACTCACTTAACCAATGCCTTGCTTAGCAGCAGAAATTTGGGGCTTACTTGTAGTCATACAATAGGGACTACCTTATTTTCTTTCTTTCCTTTCTCACATTTTTTTTCTTCTTTTTAACATCTAAAGAAGATTGTTTGACAGCGACAAATCACTTAAAATAGTTAACAGTATCTTTCCACTGGAAAACGTTCTGACCCATTGTACCTGGATGGAAAATTCCAGAAAATTAAGGTTTCAGTCTGTGTCAACTACAGTTTTCTTCTGCTATTCCCGATTCTACCTTTGATCAACTCCATCAAAAGTTCTACTTCCATTCACCTATTTCCTAGCGGTACGAAACACTCTTTAGCTAAAGGTTTCCTCTTTTCAGTCATTTCTGACTCTAGGGGGCGGTGTTCATCTCTCTTTCTTAGCCAGGGAGCCAATGCTGACTGAAGACATTTCCGTGGTCTTGTGACCAGTGTGACTATAGGTCCCACACAGAAAGCTTGTTACCTTCCCACCGAAGTGGAACATACTTATATATTCACATTTGCATGCTTTCAAACTGCTAGGTGGGCAGGAGCTGGGGCAAGTAACGGGTGCTCACTCTGTCCCCATGGCTTTTGGATCTCAACCCAGGCTGTCAAGTTTTCCATCTTTAACCTCTGAGCCATCGCATTCCCTGTGAAACACCCTTTACCCAGTTCTATTACAAGTACTCTCCATTTAGCGACCACAATTGGGACCGGCAACTTAGTCATCATTAAGCAAAGTGGTCGCTAAATAACAACTTTGCAACTAAATAACAACATGCAACTTTTCTCAGCTTCCCTCTGCTGCTTTATAAACCTGGAATGGCTAAAAATGCGAGGATTGGTCAAGTTTTTTTTTCATCTCCACTGTAACTGTGAACAACTGCTAAACAAGGACTAACTGTAAGTAATTACTTATATTTTGTTTTGTGAGGCCCCCCTCCCTTTTTAATGTATTAAAATATGAGACTGATATAGATTAAGAATTTACAGATATATATAATTTATGTACAGATGGGAAAAAAAGACTATATATAAAAAGACTACAGCTGGGACAGTTTAAAAATAAGTTAATTTTTAAAAAACGCACATAATTTTCTCTTATTGAAACAGCCTATCGCAGTTCCTCCTCGGAAAATGTGGGCTTTTAAAAAAATATTTACAAAATGGAACAAAAGATAAATAACTTTCTGGTACACCTTTCTTCACTTCCTATAACACGTATAGAATTTGATCTGCGGAATTAAATCTTTCAGAGATTTTTCTGCTATTAGCATCCACTAGTAACTCTACTCAAGAAGAGCATTAGCCAGCATACATTAAGAAAAATAATGCAGGGTTTTAACATGAGCATGGATAATTAAGCCTCTGAGACTGATACACATTTATTGACCATTTATGTTGTCCTCAATTTCCATTATCTGTTTTTCATTATCTTGTTTATTTGTACTGAGGGTTTTTTTACCCAATGTTGGCCACTCAGAGTCACTATTGCAAGATAGCCATATTAATCAATTAAATATATAAATAATCCTTGATCTGCAAGAAACCTTCAGCCCCCTGAGAATCAAGAAAATAACCAAATTTTGGAATCAATTTTTGTTTTTTGCAAGAAATAAAGGGGAAAGAGGGGAATTAAGCTAAGGACTCTTAACTTTTGGCCAACTATGAACGCCATTCTCATGCATTTACAACCAAAAGGACAAAGATACTTACCGATGCTTTGCATACAGAATCTGCATGGAATCGGCTGAAGTTGCTTTTGTTATAAACTGGCAATCCTTTCAGAAAGTCAGCCTAGAAAAAAGAAATTCCAATCACAGGCAAGTAGACTGGATCTCAGGATCTAAAGTAATGCCCCTCTGATCCCAGATTGGCCACACCAGGAGTCGGCAACCTTATAAACACTCAAAGAGTCATTTGGACCCGTTTCCCACAGAAAAGAAAACACCGGGAGATACAAAACCCTTCCCGGGCCTGAATATTTCCCGAGAGCCCACAAAACTAACATATGTAGTTGAATTGAATGTTCTGTTTTCTTCTGAAACTTTTCTTTTCTTGGATTTATCCGTGGTTGGCCTACTAGGAGTTGAAAAGCTCAATAAATTGCATGCCAGTGACAAATGTTTTGAAGGAGCCGCAGCAGAGGGATGAAAGAGCCACATGCGGATGGGTTGCTGACCCCTGGGCCAAATCATACGTTTTTAGCAGCCAGCTGTGGGTATTTCCCTTTGAAAAAAGGAAGTTTATCCTTTAGCAGTTACCCATCACCATCTGATTTTTTTTTAATCTGTATAACATTCCCTAAATAAACCTGACTACATAGGACAAACAAGCCACCTGTTTCATAGCCTTTAACTTGCATGAACAGTTTCTTCATGGTGTCCTAACCTCTTTCCACCTGTAATTTTGTCTAAGAATGGACAAAGGGAAAGGGACACAAATGGAACAGTATTCAAAGCCAGGACCATCAACCTGAGTCTTATTCTTAAAATCTGAGGCTCAAAAGGAGCTGCTCTTCCTAACTGAATAATGTACCCTACATTGTTTGAATAGAGTCTAGACAGCCAATAGTCTCAGATGCTCCTGAACTGAGCAAGTTTGGATGCCATAGCCTAAACGCACCTCCCAGTTTGGGGACTGAATTAGGTACAGATAGTCGACATACAACAATTCATTTACTGGCCATTCAAAGTTGCAACGGCACTGAAAAAAGCGATTTATGACCGTTTTTCAAACTTACAACCGTTGCCGCCTCCCGTGATCAAAATTCAGACACTTGGACACGGACTCGTCTTTATGACAGTTTGCAGTGTCCCCGGGGTCATTTTGTGCCCTTCTGACAATGGGAAAAACCAGATTCATTTAGCACATGCATTAGGAACTGAACAACTGCAGCGATTCGCTTAGCAGGACACAAAAGGGGGGGAAATGGAGCAAAACTCACTGAGCAAATCTTTCACTTCACAACAGAAATTTGGGGCTCAATTGAGGTCGTTAAGCCAAGGACTCCCTGTACTGCACCCTGGCAGACCTCCAGCCCAGAAACAAGCTCCCCCTCCCCATAGACACCCCCAAAAGGCTTATACTGGCAATGCCTTATCAAGCCAACCAAGATCTCTAGATTTTCCTGATCCAAGGCTGAAATCCAACCTCCCCATCCACCCCCCCACCCCATCTCCCCATTTTTTGTCCCCTCGACCCTCCTGTCAACCCCCCCAGCTCCCCCCCCTCAGAAACGTCCCATGCCCGCCTGCCTGCCTCCAAATCCACACCCGGAGGACCTTCTTAGTCCAGCCCCTCCAACGTCCATTCTCGGATGGAGGGTCACCAAGGCAGATGATCCTCTGAGGCCTCCTCCCCACGGGGGGGGGGTGTCCTGGCCAAGCCCCCAGCTGCGCACCCCAAATCCCGACCCCCCATAAAGGCCCTCATCCTCCCTGGAAAACCTTCTTAGCGCAGGCCGGGCGTCTCGCTGCCCTCCCTCCCCGCCCGAGAGCCCCGGGCCGGCCCAGCCCCGGCATCACCCGGCTTCTGTCCAGCTCCTGGCACTCATTGCGCCCGGTCGAAGCCCACCACCCGGCACGCCCCCTCCCTTGGGGAGCCCTGCCCCCTCCCCCCCGAAGGGGAGGGAACACGAAGCCGGTGAAGGGGGGGCGCTTCCATATCAAGGGGCTGGGAGTGCCCACCTACCATTTTCCCCCACCAGGCACCTCCTCACCAACTTCTCATCGTCCTCCTCCTCCTCCTCCTCCTCCTTCTGGGTTCCCTGCTCGGCGACGCCCATCGGAAAGGCCATTGGGCCACCCATGGCGGAAACGGAGTCCCCATTGGTTCCTATAGACGTCGTTCCGGATGGAATGCCCGCCCTCCCTCTCTCGCCTCCCTCTCCCTCCCGTGAGCTACGGAAGGGGAAAAGGGAGAAAAGGCGGAAGGAAAACCCCGGATGAAACGAGGATTTCCTCCCGTGGCTTCATGGGAAATGTAGTGCGTCCGGGAAAGGGGAATTGTCACACTCTCTCTCTCTCTCTCTCTCTCTCTTTCATAAACCTAACCTTCCCCCCAAGTTTGAATAGAATAGAATAGAATAGAATAGAACAGGAGAGGAGAGGAGAGGAGAGAATTCTTTATTGGCCAAGCGTGATTGGACACACAGGGAATTTGTCTTTGGTGCATATGCTCTCAGTGTACATTATTATTATTATTATTATT